CAAAACAAGGCTTGGGAGCCACTGAAGGTAGAAGGCTACTATTAAAATGATTATGATGAATGAGGTGCGCAATATGAATGAAAGAGGAACTTCTAAAATTGAGGATAAAGAGGATAGATAAGGATTTACCCTTGAAGAGGTTAAGAGTGTAGTTTTCAGGAAAGTATCTGTGTGAGAGTCTATCCAACAAAACAGCAGTTCTTTGGAAAAAATCTACTTCTGAATGGTTACTTTATGATAGGAATTTGAAATAAATTCAATTGAACATAAATGTATTGCTATCCTAATGAAAATATAAGCAAAAAATGTTAAATAATGGCCCAGAAACTGATTATTTCATTCCACATGACTATCTGACTATGTCACAGAAGGGGTTGGCAAAAGTATTATCAAAAGAAGAAGAAAACTTCAGTCATTGAGAGGAGCTATGGGACAATGAAGAAAGCTGGCCTCTGGTGACCAGTGACCATATTCAGTATATTTTGTTGCTTTTTCTTCAACTGCCATTTCTTTTACAACACTGATTCCTTTCCTCACTTCTTTTCTCTGCTTGAAATAAATTGCATCCAAGCCAAACAAGCAGATTTATCTTTATAAAGATGAAACATTGAAACAATCACTTGTATCTTCTGCATGAACTAGGCTTTAGATAAATCTTATTCAACTTTGCTTTGATGAAATGCTGGCCACCAAATTTGTGCTTGAAAATCTTCAGATAAAACATTTGAAATATCACTCTGCAACTCCTGTAAGGAGAAAAAGGATATCTCAGTAAAAAAAATAATGGTTAGAAATCTAGTCTAGTTGACCATTACTACTGAGCAGTGATTTTGATTCTCACTGGGTACTTTATACTTGTAGTCTTCTGTTAAACTAAGTAAAAAAAAAAAAAACATTTTATCCTGGCTTAATAATTTGTTTTGTCCTTACAAGGCATCACATACTCATGGCCTTGTATCAAAATTAAGCCTACATGTGTACTGATTTATTCAGTTGTTTTATCCCCTCGGCCGTGCTAGCTTGACTTGTTTCCAAATGGTTTGACCATCCTTTTCCCTCCATACAAGATCAGCCATGCTTCTGGACATGTATGAAAGGAAAAAATGATCATCAACTTCAATGGAACAAAATCAAGATAATAGAACAACATTGGAAAGTTTGTTTGTTTAGTGGCATATCTACTTCTTATGGGTCATTTAATGCCGAAATTTAATTTTCTTTGCAGCATTAGTAATTTCTTTTTATACAAATGTATCGCTGGTAAATTTACTATGAAAATGTATTGATGGTATTTTTACTAGAAATATGTATTTTTATACTTTCATAATGATTTGACCCCAGTTTGCGGGGTTAACTATTTGCCCATAGTTGGGACCCTAACGGATGATACCACTCAGGGTCAAGGAGGACCTGAGAACAACAGCAATTAGTAGATAGTTCCATGCTCCTCAAAACCTCTCAATCAGAGGCCTTGCTGCCAGATGTAGTTTATTGTCATACCCAGGATGCCATTGGAAAAACCTCCTTAGTATACTTATGGTTAAAACATCTCTGGCTTCCTGGCAGTTGGGAGTTCAATTCCTGAGGTGGGTAATGCAGAAAAGTTATATGTATTGTTTGAGTGGAAAAGTCTGGAGGTTAATTGATAGGTATCCTCACCAATAATGATGTCCGATTCTGTTGCTTCTAAAATTGTTTGGTTGATTTTGTTTAGCAGCATATTAACCTATATGTGTTATTTATGCTGAACACAATTTTATGGCTTCAACTACATATATTTTGAATGCAATTGTATGCCTTCAACTTCAGATAGAATGTATTGTTGGTCATTTTGCTTTAAAAATATATTGTTGGTAATTTTACTATAAGTCGGTATTGTTGGTAACCTTTTTATATAAAAATATATTGCTGGTATTTTACTATAAAAATGTATTTTTATACTTTCATAGTATTTTGTTTTTGTTTGGGAGATTACTCTATTTGTCCATAGCTGGGACCCTAACAGGTGCTACCACTCCAGGTCAGGGTGGAGCTGGGAACAACAGCAATTAAGAGGTGGTTCCATATTCCTCAAAACATTGAATCTCTCGATCAGATGTCCTGCTCCCAGATGTAGGTTGCATGCACAAAAACTGTTGTCTCAATTAACTGAATTTAGAATATCATTCTTCCTTCATTTTTGCATTGGTGATGAATGCTTCAGAGAAAAATCACTTTTTAAAAAAAATAATGTTTTCTTTTAATATGATATTATTTTTTTAAATGTTATTTAATGAATGCACGTGCTTGAGTTGCTTTCTCTGTTTTTCTTAAACACTGAAATTAACATTTACTGGCCAAGACAAGTCCTAAGGAGAAATTGAAACTAAAAGCAAGCGACACTTAGCATAAAAATGGTTTCTTTGATTGAAAAATGAAATACATGTTTGATTCCTTTTGGGAGGCACATTTTCTTTAGTTGAATTTTTTGATCTCTAGGCTGGAAGATATTAAATTTCACTGTTTAAAAAAAGATGGGGATGTCTACTAAAATATTTGTACCCACTAAATATAATAGTTATAGTAATAAAAAATAACAGAGTCGCCTAATTCATTCATTTTCCTCAAAGAAACCTCGCTGATAAGTAAAAGCACTGGTTTCTGCTGATACTGTTCTGTGATCAATCGTTTTTTCCCCAGTCAACTTGCACCTTCAAAAATTGAAATGAAATGTCAATCATTATGTGCTGTTTTCTTAATTCCTGTATGTCTATTGTTCTCTCTCCTTAATTTTCTTTTTTTCTCATATTCTCTCACACTCAGTAATCCCTTGCATCTTAGTGGCTTTATTACCTTGCTTGGGATGAAATGATAAAAAAAAATGCGTTTCAGGGAGTAGGCAATCATGGCTCTCCACACGTTCCTTTTCTTTATGAATTACTATTAGTTCTTGGGGAAAGAGAGTTGATTGGTTTCCCATTGCTCTCTCCATGGTTTCAAATTCAGAGTTTACCCTTTTCTTCAGTACATAGGCAATCATGGCTCTCCACAGATTCCTGTTCTTCATTATCTGTGAATGTGCCTTGAATTTTTGTCAAACATAGTGGAGTGATTTCCCATTTCACCACAGTTTGGAATTCATAGTTTTCTTTCTCTTGAAAGTGGTTATCACTCAAGGCTCAGTCTACCTTGAAGTTTAACCCATAGCAGGGGAGGAAGAAAAGACATATTTAAACCTGTTCCATTGGGTATTTGTGTAAAAGTGAATGCAGCAGACTAGGGTAGATTTTGAACTTGATACCACTTTCCCTGCTGATATCTCATGTATCCTATTCATTCTTTAGCTTGGGCAATAATCTGGTCACTGCTTTTTTTAAATGGGTTGATTCTATCTGTAGGTGAATGGAAAATGGAAACAGTGAGCCTGGTTCAAATTCAGGCTGAGACAATTTCTGTTCACTTTACATTAATACTCTTGGGAAAAGCATCACTCTTCTTATTTGTCCCTCATCCTAATCTGTGGGTAAAATAGAATATTGCAGGGCATGGAAGAAGAAATCGATAACTTTTACAACTTGCTGGACAATACCAAGGCTAAGTGTCAAGCATAAGAAATCATGGGAAACTTGAATGCCAAGGTCAGGAAAGAATGAGTAGGTGAAATAGTTAGCAAGTTCGAACTAAGAATATGTAATGAATGCATTGAAAGATAGGTGAAGTGGTGCACAGAAAATGATCAAATAATTACTAATGTCTAGTTTCAAGAGCACCCAAGACTCCTATGGAGATAGAGACGTTTGAGAGGAGACAAAAAGAACTAGATTGATTATGTAAGTTTCAATAAAAGGTTCAGAGACACAGATCTATGCTGAAAAACATATCCAAGAGCCGACTTCAGAAATGATAGTCTTCCAGTTGTTTGCTATGTTAGGTCTCATTAGTTTGCATAGTTTTAATCTAAGTAATGTCTAAACTGTAATATGACAGATTCCTGATGGACACAGCTTATGAGGCAACATACAAAAATAGAGTTACAAATCAATATAATCAGAATTAAACTACAAATTCAAAGTGGAACATTTTGAAACACTAGTGACATCAGCAAATGAGATCACTCCAAGGAAAATGAGACAAGAAAGCCAAAAGTGGATGACCAAAGAAATCCTACAGATGATGAAAATGCAACAATACACAATGCCAAGAAATGGTAGCAAGTACTAACACTAAACACAGAAATTAAAAAAAATCAAGGAAAGCTAAAGAGGAATGGTCCAGTGACAAGTAAACAGAAATAGAAAAGAAGCACAATGCAAACAGAATAAAAGAATTAAAAAGGCAATGGTAAGCCAATCAACAAGATCTATAAAATCAAATGAAGGGTCATTGGTAATAGAAAAAGACATCCCAAAGATGGAGTGAATATGTTAGAGAACTTTTTCATGATGCAAGAGAAATAACTAAAGCTAATGGTGTAAATCTGGATGAATAGAGTATGAAGATGAATTAAATAGGAAATATGACAAGAACAGTGTATTTTTTTTCAAGGACACTGTAACAAGAAATGCAATATTTAAGATTAGAATAATATAGGAGAGAGCAATAAAAATGTATACTTATGTTTTCTAGATTATGCAAAAGCATTTGACAGGGTATGGTACAAGAATCTATTTGAACTGTTAGGAAAATTCAATTCAAAGGATGTTAGAAAACTCCAGAAACATATAATAGGAGCAAAACGTCTGTATATGGATGGAAAATTAATTGAGTAACTATACAAAACTAGAAAGTGGTGCAAGGCAAGTATATATATTCTCTCCAGATTTATTCAACCTCTACAACAAGGACACCCTAAGGGATCTGGAGACAATTGTGAATTCAAAATCAGTTGGACATGCAGTGATCAACCTATTTGCTTAATAAACCATGCAACTGCAAAGACCGAGTGTGTGGAGGCTGTGAGTTCACATACCAAAAATAGAATGTATGGTTATTAAAAGAAAGATAAATAAAAATTGACTTACCAAAGAGTTGAGCAACAGATTTTGTCATATGGGCTCCAGCAGCCAAGTAATAACTCAGTCGATTAAAGTTCACTGACACCAGCTTCTCATTGAGGCGATTAACCAAAGGGTCGTATGTTCCAATCTGTTCAATGATTTTACCTTGACGAGTCCTGCGTTGAGGAATAACAACAATGTGGAAGAACGGACGATTCCGACAACCATACATTGCAAATCGAATAATCATAGGATTACGAGTAATACGCTTCACACCGGTTAATTGACCCATCTGTAAAAAAGAATTTTAAAAATAATCAGTACAAAATACACTAAAAATATATTTGCTAGTATTCATATGTACATACAAATGCAGATATATACAGGGTGCAATAGGCAAATTGTTACCATTTTATATTTTGTCAACATTTCATGCATGCACGTTATTTGTTTCTGATTTTGTCAACTACACAGTATAGTAGGGTCAGTTGGGTACTGTCTGTGAGAAAAAGCACACCATGATGCAGATCTCCCAGAAGACCAGAGAAGAATCCAAAATGACTTGGATAAATCCTTCAGACATGGATTCAATGTAGTCAAAGCTCACCAAGTACAAAAATTATGGGGGAATAGATAACAATAAAAAAATCAGAAGGTAAGAGTTCCAAGGTCCATCACCCACCAGACAAAAAATAAAGCAGTCAACATCAGCCATATCCTGCAAACTGAGAAATCATCTAGATTTATATAGTAAACTTCCACTCAGGTACCAGCAGCCAATCACCCACAACAATCAATGCACTATCCCACTTTAGCTTGAGATGCTCCATTGAACCATAAATAGCTCTGTCTCTATGTTGAATTGAACATCCCAGCAGGCTCCACAAGGCGGATGAACTGAAATGGATTAAAAAAAGATCAGAAGGTGACGACAAGGTCCATCCCCACCAGTGAAAACATAACAAATCAGGAGAATATGCAATGAATGCCTCTGAAAGATAGGTAAGGGTCTCAACACACCAAAACGATCAAATAATTGCCATAATGGACATCATTGCCAGGGAGAGGAAGTGGGCTTGAACATCCCTCAGGCTCAGGCGGATGAACTGAGATGGAAGGTGAGACAGACCTGGATTCCCTCTAACATAACAAAACTGGAGAATATCCAATGAATTTCTGAGAAAGATGGGCTCTCACAGAAAATTGATAAAATAATTGGTAATGTCTAATTTCAGTGTTGGGAGATATGAGTTAGAAGTCTCTGTTTTATACAAATTGTATGGTGACAAAGACAAGGGACAATAGTCCGAATTTTCTGAAACAATGGGCTCTCCTTGAATTGACCTCATCTTGGTGCCAAGTCTGAAGACATGAGTTACTGAAAGGCTGGACGTTGTAATGTAAAATATGGTGACAAAGATGAGGACAATAGTCCGAATAATGTAAATAATGTACATAATACCTCATCTCAGAAATATAGACAGATACTGAAAGTCATAATTGTCAGATAATTTCTGCAACCACATCACACCTTAGATCTGGCCACCTAACTCTGCAGACTGCAACCCCCTTGAATATTGTGTGTGGGGTGTAGTTGAGTAAAAAAACCAACAAAACTCCTTGTAAAACCAAAGATGAACTGAAGGCAAGGATTATAGCAGCATTCACCAACTTAAACAAGACCATCCAGAAGAGATGCAGAAGATTCCAAAGTCGTCTGGAGGCCATGATTGGAGCCAATGGTGATTTTATTGAATAAATTTACTCTTTAATATTTCAAGATATTTTTGTGTCATTTTGGTAAATATATCTGTTAATATGAGATGTCAGTGTTATTTTCATTTTTGTGTAATTTAGATGATAACTTATCCATTGCACCCTGTACATATGTATCATTTAAATAATCAAAAACAAAAAAAATCAAAAAAGGTAACAGAAATAAAAGCATATAAGAAGAGATCAAGATCCTTCTCGCCCAATGGAGGAACCCCTCCCTAATTGACTATGGGTCTAACCATACTTACCATGCTTGACCAATTGCAAGTTGGTGAGGCTATCTACCCTTATTTGGAGGTTTTGAATACAGACTTGTCCTCCTTTACCAGTTGCCATCCAAGGCTATAGGACCCAGTCTCTCCTGCTATTTACCTTTAGCTGGGGGGGGGGGTAGAAGAGATGCATTCATACCTTTCCTAAAACTATCTGCATATATGTGAATGCAACGAGCTTGACTTGAATTCCAACTCAGATGGCTGATTCCTCAATCCGAGATGCTATGTATTACTCCACAATGCTGCCTTTAAATATGTTAATGCACATGTCTCAGAAATAATTTTAATGCATCATCTTAAACTAGTTGCCACACAAAGCATTATACATCATGTTAGATATTAGACTACAAAGTTTAAACCTGGCAATACATTCTTTAAAAATTTATGCAAAGTTTTTTTAAAACTATTGTCTCATTCACTCAATATAAGAACTCTAAAGATGAAGATTATAGTTAGCAATTAATCTGTGTCCCAATTTGTGTGTGTGTGTGTGTGTGTATATATATATATATATTGTAATTATTTTTTAAGAATATGATTCCATCTCTACATAAGATTTCTCATGTTTCAAAAAAAAAAAAAAAACCTAAAAAACCAGCTCTATTTCATCCTCAAGCAAATTTTAGAATAACTAATCTTGAAATTTATTGAGCTTTATAAGCATATACATTCATAATATTACTTACATGGAAACGGTGAAACTGATTATTGTGAAAAGGGGCATAAGGGTGAACATATTGTATCACCATATTAGTTACTTTTGGAAAGAGGTTAAGTCGATGTAGGGTCGGGGTGTCTATTTTCAAGCGAATGATTACATCAGTTTGGCGCATATCGTCTGGTCTGTTTCTACGACAGAGAGTTGTTGGCATTATATTGATCAACAAATTTTTGCCTTAAATAATTATCTTAAAAATTTTAAAATTTCATAGTCTATAAACAATTTCAAGCAAAAGGTTTATAAGCTTAACCCAATCACAAGATAAAAAAAAACCTTTATGAAGTCATCAAAAAACAAACTGTAGTTCAATACGACATATTTATATACAAACAACCCTTTTAAAAAAAAAAAAATTTTAAGGTATACAAATACGAATTTAATGGCGTAACAATAATGCCAACAACTCTCTGTTGTTGAAACAGACCAGACGATATGCGCCAAACTGATGTCATCATTCACTTGAAAATAGACACCCCGACCCTAGCTTGATGTAACCTCTTTTTAAAAGTAACTAATATGTTGATACAATATGTTCACCTTTACACCCCCTTTTTACAATAATTGGTTTCACCATTTCCATGTAATTAATATTACAAATGTATATGCTTATAAAGCTCCATAAATTTCAAGATTAGTTATTCCAAAATTTGCTTGAGGATGAAACAGAGCTGGTTTTTTAGCTTTTGTTTTTGAAACATGAGAACTCTTATTCAGTGATGGAATCATATTTTTAAAAGTAATTATAATTTAGGCTCTACTTATGTATGGAGCACTGTTTTTTAAAAATAAAAACAAAATTACTAAAAAACTTTGGATTATTAACCTAAAGGTCCTTTCCTATTTTTCTATATTTCACACACACACACATTATATATATATAAAAAAAAAAATGGGGGGTGAAAATTTCTTGGCATGACCTACTTCCCTAATTTATACATATATCATAAGTATATATAAATATCACCTTACTCTCACATATATTTATATATATATATATATATATAAAATCACAGTAACAAAGTATATAAATATATAAGGTCTAGCTCTCTCTTATTTATATATATATATATATATATATATATATATATATTATATAAAATCACAGTAATAAGTATATATAAAGACTAGCTCTCTCTTATCTTTCTTTATATATATATATATATATATACACACACACACACACACACACACACACACACACACACAAGCAAACACTAGATTCTCCCATCAATTTCGACATATGAGGGTCAGGCAACTCAGTTCCTAGAAACAGACAGTTAGACCCCTGCACAGATCATTTGATTATAGTGGTGAAGGCTTGTGCAGAATTAACCACACATTTTGGAAGAACTGAATATAGAACTGCTGCACAATATTCCCAAAGGTCCCCAAACAAACCTCCGCAGGTTTTGAATTCAGAGTTGTCCTTCTTCTAGTCTGGTTGCCATTCTAGGCTATAGGACCTAGTCTGCCCTGCTATTTACCCATGTTGTTGCGGAGAAGTGGAGGATTCATACCTTTCCCAAGGGTAATAGCATGTAAATGAATGCAGTGGATTCGACTGGAATTCGAACTGGGCTCCCCAAGTTCCCAATCCTCATTGCTATCATTTACTACATTATGTATGCATGTGTGTTTTATTACCTTTTCTATAATCATGAATGATTATATATATATATATATACATAAATCATCTTTCTCTAGATATATATATATCTTAAAAGTGATGATTTTAAATTATCTCTTTATATATGTGTATATATATATATATATATATATATATATATATATATATATATATATATATAAAATCTCTCAATCAGTTTCAGTTAATGATGTCTTCATACCAAGCCATACATGTTTAAGTATGATTATGACAACAGCCTTCTTCTCAAATCTATTCTCAAGTAGTGAACACCTTACCCACACACATACACAAAAAAAGCTGATCACAGTAAAAAAGAAGAGCACAAAGATGAAACTCGTGATCATCTGCAGCCTCTTCACCGGTTCATGTATTACGAGCTGCTTTTCAGATACACTTCATAGACATTTTAATTATTAGAACAAAAAATAACCAAATAAAAGAGAGAAAGACCGGTGAGACAAAGAGGCGGGATCAATAAAATCATTGTACTTAAAAGATGTCTCTTGACATTGTAAGCCTTGTGCCTTGCTGCTTCTGGGAATTGATTATAACTATGACTGCAGAGAAGATTCGTAACCCAGGTTAGCATCCTGGTTGGTTAGGGTGGACAAAGAAGAGAAAATGCAAATTATTCTGCTAAGTCAAAGACGAAAAGAGTAAAATGAAAGAAAGTGTTAAAACAGTGAGAATTTATATCAATCTGGGTTTTTTTCTGCTGCTACTGCTGTAAAAGACTTACTTGCAAAATCTTTGATGATAATTCTCCAACCCTCACCTCCCCCAAGTAATCACCAGGTTCCGTGTCATAAGCACATCAGGCAAAAAAAAAA